TTTCTTATATAATTTTTATTTTGTTATGTAGAACTAAAAGCTTGTGTAATACAGAATTTCTTTTATTTGTAACGCATTCATATTCTAAAGAATTTTTTATTTTTTTTTTTACTAACCGGATAACCATCGGATAGTATACTTTTCTAGAGATAAGTGGTATACTTTTCTAGAGATAGATAGTATACTTTTCTAGAGATAGAAAAGGTTGTAACTGATATAATTCGCTAGCTTAGTATCAAGCATCTAATCCTTAAGTTAGACAAGTAGAAATGATGATTTGACTCATTAAGTATAAGGATGTAGTTGTATGGATTCTTTTTGGTGATATTTAAAAAAATTGATAAGATTTTTAAATGCATTAGGCTTCAGTGAAACTACCAACAAAAAAGATTATAAAGAGGATAACTCTCTTATTCTTTGTCGCTTAATAATTACAGATTAAAAAGATATATAATCACGTGTATAATGCGTATGATAAATAAGTCTTTTTTATTATTATTATTATTTATTTATTTATTATTACTAACCAGATAACCGTCAGATAGTATATTTTCTAGAGATAGAAAAAATTGTAACTGATATACTTCGCTAGCTTAGTAACAAGCATGTGATCCTCAAAAAACTAGACAAGTAAAAATAAAAAAAATTGATGATTCAACTCACTAAATATAAGGATGTAGTCGAATAGATTCTTTTTGGTAATATTCGAAAAATTAATAAGAGTTGATAAGAGTGAAATAGTTTATGTTCAGCAACTTGGTCAGATGCTAAATAAATAATTACAGGTAAATCTAGTGAATGCAAAGTCACGTATACTATCATATATAGTAGGTTTTAAAGTGCTACTTACTGTATTAGGTTTTTTAAATATATTAGGCTTCAATAAGACTACCAAGAAAAAAAGATTATAAAGAAAAATTAACTCTCTTATTCTTGTTGCTTAATGGTTATAGATTAAAAAATAAAAAGAGATATATAATCATGTGCATAACGCGCTGCAATAGATAAGTCTTTCTTTTTTCTATTTTTTTATTTATTTTTCATTATTACTAACCAGATAACTGTCAGATAGTATATTTTCTAGAGATAGATAGTTACTTTTCTAGAGATAGAAAAATTGTAACCAATATACTTTGCTAGCTTAGTAACAAGCATGTGATCCTCAAAAAATTAGACAAATAAAAATAAAAAAATTGATAATTCAACTCACTAAATATAAGGAGTAGTTGAATGGATTCTTTTTAGTAATATTCGAAAAATTGATAAGAGTTGATAAGAGTAAATTTAGTTTGATGTGTTTAGCAACTTAGTCAGATACTATATAGAAAATTTTAAGTGAATCTAATGAATACAGTCATACAGTATATACCATCATATTTAGTAGGTTTTAAAGTGCTACTTACTGTATTAGTTTTTTTTTAAAATGCATTAGGCTTTAGTGAAACTACCAAGAAAAAAATTATAAAGAGGAATTAACCCTCTAATTCTTTGTCGTTTAATGACAATAGATTAAAAAGTAAGAAGTGCAAAATAATTATACCATACTGCAGTTCATAGCAATCAATTTATTATTTACATATTGAATAATCTATTTACTTCTTTCTATAGTAGTTTAAGCTACTCATTTATATATTACTCTGTTCATTCTTTCAAAACTACCAACTTTCTAGCTATACAAATGATGTGCCAAAACTTAAAGAGAATTGGTATATATATGATGCACTGTGATAAATAAGTTTATTTAATTTTTTTTTTTTATACATGCATTTGAGTCAAATAGGATTGAAATCTGCATTAAAACTATGACAATAACAGATTTATATTTGCTCTTAATTGTTACATATAAAAAAATTAAGACCTATTATGTATTTTATATTTTTTAGCATATTCGCAAAGAGTTTGTCGTTCCCCAACAGAATTAACTCCATATTGGTTGAAGTCTTCAATCATTAGTCTTATTAAATTTTTCACTAAAACTCATTGTGCTTTAAACCTTTCTAAAAAATCTTGATAATAATAGTCTGTTCTTTCATTTTCATCTACTTCTTTTAAAAACTCTTCTATTGTAGATAAAACATGAGAAATATATGAATAAGGTTGACTAGTTTGAGCTTGAAGAGATAAGTTTTGATACAGATTATATGGGTTGAAAAATAATAGATACTGTGGTTGAAGTATTTGTGATCCAAATATCCAATTGTGTACTTGAGATGGTAAAATTAATGGAGCTTGCATTTGCGATGGCAGCAAAACTAATGGCAACTGTGTTTGTAAATATGAAAGTAATATTTGAGGTAGTAATAATTGTACTGTTGGTGATGGAGGTGATGATAATAGTGAAATAGCTTTTGAAAGCTTCTTGGATTAAATATTAGTATGAAAAAAAAGTGGATGTGTTGGAGGTGCTTCAATTGTAGCCAGACCTTTATTCTTAAAAATATATATAAATAAACTATGTATAACAATAATAGATTATTAATTTAGCTTGTTACATATTATAAATTATACATACCATATCCAATACCCATATAGAAAGCATCATAAAAGTTATTTCAACATGCAAATCCTTGTGATTTTCCCTGTTAAAACAAGGCTGATTATGCATACTGCAATGATGTGCTTTCTGAATTTCTAATACATTTTCAGCAATGCTTTTATTATATGAAGTTAGAGATAAAACACTTGGGATTCGATTAATTTTTTTGCCATAGTTTAGTCTTTCAGCATTTTTATCATCATCGTCCAAATCTGATTTCTGTATAGATTAATTTTATTGACATAAAATTTTATATAAAAACCAGTTTTTACACATGTATAAAATTCTGGGTCACATCTCTAAGTGAAATAAAGTAGCAACTATTATATAATATATATGCGTTACAAATAAAAGAAATTCTGTATTACACAAGCTTTTAGTTCTACATAACAAAATAAAAATTATATAAGAAA